AAAAAAAAAAAAAAAAGGCAGCTAAGCGAAGTTTATTAGTCCTTACCGCACATAAATGTATTTTATTTATACCAGTCCTTCCCTAGAATCTCTGAAACTTGAAGCTTTACGGACAGCGAGGGTGACACCATCTGCTGTGGATGGAAAAACTCACGCCTGTTACCTGGCCTGGCTACGCTTGACTCACCACCTAACCTCCCCAGCCCTCCATTTTTTGAATTATAAGATGGGGAATGCAGTGCATGCTTTAACTGTATTATAGAAACTTGGATCAATAATAATCAGTGGTGTAGTCCTTAATTCATTATATATTGAGTGCTGAGAGCCACATACTATGAGTTGTTAGGTACAGAGATGCGCAAAACAAAATCGGGCCTTGCCCTACCAGTGTTTCTACGGTGGGGACTGTGAGTGCTTCGAAAAGTATAAACTAATATTTATTGAACTCCTGTTACGTACTAAATGCCAAGGAAGTGAGTTTTTGTTGATTCTCAGAATGAAACAAAAGATGCAGTTCTTTATCCGCTTAGAAGAGGAATGAAAACGAGTGGGTAGGATACAGACACGAAAGAGAAAGACCTCTCCTTTCCTGTGTCTTTGAGGCTATGGGAATGAGTGCATCTGTGTCTGTAAGGAGTGTGTATCCAACCTAAATAGAAATTTATGGACTGGTGTTTATGTGGATATCTTATATATTTTTGTGTGCCTATTCCTTGCATGTGTTTTTAGGTGTGATGCTTTGAGAACATTTGTGGGAGAAGGCTAGAGGAATTGTGCTCATTGATATAGACCGCAGATAATACATCTGGAGGAATGTCATCTGGGTGTGTGTTATTTTAGTAAAAACGAGAAGACATAAGACGCTGCACCTTTGTTTGGCTGCATTAGTTAAGAAGGAAGTAGACACTGGAAACTTAGTGATGGGAACGATAAGTTGGTAGTGGAAGGAAAGAAAAAAGTAGAAAACAGGTATATGTAAAATAATAACCATTGAATATTACAGCTTGGAACTCCTATTTCTATTTACTAGAATTTATATTTTGCAAAATAATTTTTTGAGAGTTGGTTAAAAATCTTCATTTTTTTTTTCTTATTACATAGTACATGTTCTCTGTAAAACATTTAGAGTAGTATTCTTTGCATTAAAAAATTTAATTGCCTTAATCCTTTTACTGTTAATATGTTCTCATTTATCCTGCCAGTCCTTGATTTGTGTGGTACATATAATTTCTTCTTTTTCTTCTCTGAGGCAGGGTGTGGAGCTAGCGAGAGGAGCAAAAATGGGGTTTCATATGCATACTTTTTGGAAACAGTTTTTTTCTTCTGTTATCTTTTAGTCTTTTTAGTCATTTATTCTTCTTCAATGTCATATTTAGTGGGTACAGATCTTTCAATGAATGGATGTGCAATAGTTTAACCAGCCAAATATGTGGGTATTTAGGTTCTTACTTTTTTTGTGGTTATAAATAATACTAATAAATGTCCTGTAACCAAATATTTATTACATTCATAAATTAATTCTTCCAAGGCAGCATTTCTAGGCCAAAGAGTTTGTGAAATTTTTGCTCATTTCTCCACATTCTCACTAATACTGATATTTTCTGATTTGAGAAGTTATGGTGAGCCCTGTGAATTGTGTAAGACTGATGAATCAAAGACCTGTACCCCTGAAACAAATAATACATTATATGTTAATTAAAAAAAATAAAGAAAAAATGTTCTTTTGTTATCTAATGTTTGTTTCCTGGTATTGATGGACACTTGGATATTTGTCTTCTTTTTGTTCCTTGTGTATTTATGCTCCTTGCCCATTTTTTAACTGTCTTTTGCTTTGTTCTTTCTTGCATTGATATTAAATATTTGCCACATGTATTGGGAATATGTTTTCTCATTTGTCTTTTGATTTTGAGGTATGTGAGTGTGTGTGTGTGTGTATTTCAGTGGTGTTTAAAAATTCTTTTTAGTCAGATCTTCAGCCTTTTTCTAAATGATTTTTGCCTTTAGTATTTTGCTTAGGTGGGGGCTTTACTACTTGAATTTATTGTTGTTGGCTTAATATTTTTCTTCTAATACAGTTTTAAATGTATTAGGGAGGAACTTGACTGTCTTTTTTCCTCTCAAATATGTAATGAATTAGCCCTTTTTGAAAACTGATGAAACAAGTATTTCGTTCTGCGGTATTCTTCCCAGTGATTAGAAAACTTTTAGTTGGGGGCACCTGGGTGGCTCAGTTGGTTAAGCGTCTGCCTTCGGCTCAGGTCATGATCCTGGGGTCCTGGGATTGAGCCCTGTATTGGGCTCCCTGCTTATCGGAGAGCCTGCTTCTCCCTCTCCCTCTGTCTGCTGCTTCCCTGCTTGTGCTCTCTCTCTTTCTTTCTCTCTCTCTCTCTCTCTCTGTCAAATAAATAATTAAATAAAATCTTAAAAAAAACCACAAAACTCAGAAAACGTTTTAGTTGATCTTCCTCCCCTGAATAGTGTCGCAGATATAGCCCATGCATACCAGTGAACTTCAGAAACCCAGAATACATTGGATCATAAAGGTGTGTTAGGACCACTTTGTTTTTGGAACATGCAGACCTATTACTTGTGCTGTTTTTGCCTGCTTTTCTACGATAGGCATACCTCAGAGATACTGCAGGTTCGTTTGATTAAAGACCACTGCAATAAGTGAATATTGCAATAAAGCCAGTCAAGTGAATTTTTTTGTTTTGCAGCACGTATAAATGTTATGTTTATACTATACTGTGGTCTATTAAGTATGCAATAGCATCATGTCAAAAAAACCCCAATGTACATACCTTAATTAAAAAATACTTTATTGCTGAAAAATGCTAACCCATCATTTGAGCTTTCAGTAAGTTGCAATCACTGATCACAGATCACCATAACCAATATAGCAATAATGAGAAAGTTGGAAATATTATGAGAATTACTAAAATGTGACACAGAGACAAAAAGTGAGCAAATGCTGTTGGAAAAATGGCGATTGTAGACTCAGGGTTGCCACAGATCTTTAATTTGTAAAAACAAAACAAAACAAAAACAACACTGTGTCTGTGAAGGGCAGTAAAGTGAAGCACAATAAAATGAGGTATGCCTGTACTCCTCACCATCCTGAGAGGTGGGCAAGAGAATTCAAACAACTCTATGATGGATATAGCTGATGGGCACCCTCACATTTATTTCTTCCCCAACCCCCAAGCCTGCCTTATCACATCCTCAAGGCTATAAAGCAAAAGACTACATTTCCCAGACTCCCTTCTAGTTCTGTTGTACATGATGACTGTGGGAGATTTGGAAGGGAAAAATGTGGGAGAAGCCATAGTCTGGGAGGGATTTGGGTTTTCTGCATTTCTCTTGGAGACTAGTCCTAACTTCAGGGAGGTTAAGTGGATACTGAGCATCCATTTTACTGGCATGGATTGTAGCTGAGGTGGGTAGGGTCCTAGAGCTGACAGTTGGACTAATGGTCTTGTGAGATAATGGAAAATACATATTGGCTCTGCCCCCTGGTTCCCAGAATAGGGTTCATGAAACCCTTGTAATCTCCTGGGTAACAGGAGTATCTTTTGTTCTAGTGAGGTGATGCTGGGTATGTTCCTGGATGGCTCTTGGGTGGGGGCTGGTCACAAGAAAGGACAAGCCATAATTAGAGCTTGGAATTTTCAGCTCCATTCCCCATTCTGTTGAGATGGGAAAAGGCGGAAAATGAAGTTAAATGATTGATGATGCCTACGTGATGAAGCTTCCATTAAAAATCCAAGAAGTACAGGGTTTGGAGAGGATAAAATGGGATTGTTTTCTTCTTCTTCTTCTTTTTTTTTTTTAATTATGCAACGACATGGATGAACTGGAGCGAAATAAGTCGGTCAGAGAAAGACATGTATCATATGATCTCACTGATATGAGGAATTCTTAATCTCAGGAAACAAACTGAGGGTTGCTATGGGGGGTGGGAGGGATGGGGTGGCTGGGTGATAGACATTGGGGAGGTTATGTGCTATGGTGAGCACTGTGAATTGTGTAAGACTGTTGAATCACAGACTTG